ATGTCTCTATAAAATAGGAGGAAGCAGATAAAACATATTTTAGAAAAACAGAAGGAAGACTATATTTCCTCTTAGCAATACTACTAATTTGTAGGAATAAGAAGTATTTACCACACTTCTGGAAGAAAACTTTAATTAAAATACTTTTGCTACCACAATTTATTGTTTCATAAATGGCACGATTTGTCCTGCACTGGAATCTCATATGAAAAAGGTATTGAAGTTGATTTACACTACCTCAACTTTTCCACCTTCCAAATGGTCAAACAAAAGCTCAGATTTATCAAAGCATCAACTCTAGAATCCCAGCCATTAGACTGAGTCCTATTTTACTACTGGAATAATTAAGTTCATTCTCTGTCAGATGCTCAAAGTTTAACTCAATACACAACATAAGGAATATTAAACTTCTGGTTACATATTTTATAGCCTAAAATAAGAGATTTCACAGTATTACAAGTTCCTTTGACTTTACTTAATCACTAGACAGAAAGAGAGTGACCAACATGAGTGTTTCTTAATTTCTTTTTCAGAGCTTGACAATCTAAATGACTACTCAAATCATGCTTTCTTTTGTTCTGTATCCTTTGTTAGATATACATATCCAAGGCTGATTCCAAAGAAATAATAATTACTACCAATTAAAGATAATAAAAGTAGGGAAAAATCTGTCCATTTGGAGGTGGATGTTTGGACCCACATGCTCCTGGGTCTTGATGCTTTTTGGGATTCAGCTAACATGACAAAGTACAGAATAGAAATTATCTGCTTAACAATATACATTTTTGGTAAAATGTGTGAAAATAGTTTTAAGGAAAACCCGTATGGCAGCATAAATAAAGCACTGGTTTTAGAAACAGATATAATCATCAGGGAAATGTAAAACAAAACCGAGATGAAATATCACCTCACATCTGTTAGGACTGCTATTATAAAAAATGTGTTGGTGAGGATGTGAAGAAATCAGAACCCTTATACTCTGTTGGTGGAAATCTAAAATGATGCAGTACTATGGAAGTTCCTCAAAAAAATTAAAAATAGAACTACCATATGATCCAACAATCCCACTTCTGGACATCTATCCAAAAGAAAATAGGGATCTTAAAGAGCTATGGACTTCCATGTTCATTGCAGCATTATTAAAATTATCCAAAATATGAAAACAACCCAAACTTCCATTGACTGATAAATGGCTAAAGAAAATGTGCTATATGTGCATAAGGGAATATTATTCAGCCCTAAAAAAGAAGGATATCCTGCCATATGTGACAGCATGAGTGAACCTGGAGGACATTACACTAAGTGAAATAAACCAATGACAGAACAAATACTGCATGATTCCACATATATGAGGTATCTTAAATAATAAAACATAAAAAAGCAGAATACAATTGTGAGCCAAGGACGGAAGGGAGAGGGGAACAGGGAGTGGCTGTTCAATGGGTATAAAGTTTCAGTTATACAAGATGAATAAGTTCCAGAGATCTGTACAATGTTGTAGCTATAGTCAACAATACTGTATTGTTCAGCTAAAAATTTGTCAAGAGAGTAGATCTCATGTTAAGTGTTTTCACTACAATAATACATTTTTTGAAAAAGAATATAGGTTTGAAAGTTAACTGACAAGATATATTCCCCTGACCAAGTCACTTACCTCTTTGAGGATCAATTTCTTCATCTGCAGATGGGGATAATATCTAATTGGATTATTAGATAAGACATATTTATAATGTATCTGGCACATCACAGGCACTTGATAAGTGAAAGAAACCCTTATCCCTAAGGACAGTCTCATGAGAGGGCTTAAGAGGTCCTTTGAGAAGTAACAGCTTTTAAAAAGTTGGCCAATACCGAGGACTACATAAATTTCTTGGTGAGTTCCAATGCCAAAAATGGACCAGAAAGTTGGGATTTCTGCTGTTTGCCTTATTCCTGAAACCCAGGACCTGAAATGCAGGCCACATTTACCTAATTGTTCATTTTCAAATTTCTGTGAGATGTCCTCTCCAAGGCATACATCTGACCACGTTTTGCTAAGTAAGACCAATTCATACTTGTAAACATACACATACAACTAGGTATACATACAAGGTAGGTAATCTGAAACTCGATTGTTATGTACCCCTACAATTAACTGCAGGGCAATGAAAAAATACAACTTTAATTTATTTGGACATAGTAGAAACATAATAAATAGGCCCATGTCTGCATCTTTTTAACATTTTGCTACCCTACAATAAACAAAATAGAGCTTAATAAAATAATACTAACATAAATCAATATGAAATAAAAGCCTGGTCGTTTCCTCCCACCTGCTATGATAACACCTATGACTCAACCACGTCTGACACCTTGAATGAAAATTTCAGTCCCAAAATTTTGAAAGTCAAGATATTCAGTGCTGCTTATCTTGGTTTAGAATAGAAAGTCTGGCAGGATCTTAATTACAGTGTGACAAAAGTAGCAGGAATATAATACCACAAAGCATTGAAGAAAAGATTTTGCTAATGCCTGTTAAAACACTTCTTGGACTAAAGGTTAAAGAATATTTATCTCATACAAAAGGAGCCTAATTTACTCCATTGGTACATAATTTAGTAGGAACAGCAAATGTATTCCTTTAATTCCTTTTGTTAATTTTCAGCTTTGTAGGGCTTGAGGG